CAATGAAAAGCAAATTTAATATAAAAAATATAGTGTTTTGCATAAATTAATCCCAAATATTCTTTACAGCACATAATATTCAATGCATTCGTGTTTGATATGAACATTGAATTTGAAATTTCTTTTCTTATATTAAACACAAGTATATTCTTTATATATAAAAATGAGAATTGAATTATAAGTTTCTTATTATGCAATTTTTATATACAAAATGCATACATAATATAGAATATTCTTTATATCTAATTCATCACAATTATTTAAATTGATCGGATTATAATTAAGGCTTGACTTTTTATTGTTTAAGACCCTGATTATCAGGCACCGGGGTTATTGTTTATTCTGTAGTTATTAATATAAGTATTTGTTGACCTGGTATGCAAATCAAATGCATAACAAACACGCCATGTATGCGCATAAATATACAGAAATATAGTCTATAACACAGAATAAATTATAATTATATTCAGAAACTGAATGCACAAAAAATCTGTTTTTTTTGTGTCAACTCTATATCGGATGTGTCGCTAATTCTCATCGCAATTGTGTGTGAATTCAGATATGAAGTGCCAGAGAGAGAGAGAGAGAGAGAGAATGGAGTGATTGTGTGAATAATTTTTAATATGCATTCAAATATCTTAATATATTTTTCTCTCTCAGTGTCTCACATATATTGTGTGTATATTATATAATGTATGGCACAAAGAGTTATATACCCGTTCCCCTACATACCCATCCCCTCCAACTACTTATAGTCCGCGAATATATCAAACTTATAGATAATATAAAGATTTTTCTTCATATCATATGTGATGTCATATCATATCTCATGTGTTTTTGACGGCTTTATCATAGACTGAGAAAAAAATAGTTCATATATTTATTATTACATATTTGACTGAGAGATCAGTTTATATAATATATGTCTGTATAGTGTATGAGAATATTATTGTGAATATAATGTAATTTGTATGTCATTTATATGTGAATGGATAGCATATTATTTTTTGTTTATATTTAATCTAGTTAACTTTTTGTATAAGTTTGTGTGAATCACATTATTAAATAGGGTATTAGATATTATTCTTGAGTTATTGTATATAATTATATTAATTTTAATGGGAAATAGATTAATAAATGTAATTAATTTTTAGATAGTAGCTAGCATGAATAATTTTAGTTTTTGTGTAAAATAATATTATTAATTAGTTTGCATATTTTTGATATTTTATAATTTTATAGTATTTTTGATATTTATTATTTTAAAATCGATTTTATTTTATGGGTTTAAAACCCGATAAAGAAATAAATATTTTATAACAAAAACATTGATTAAAATATATAAGGATTTGAAGATTAAATGTTGAGATTATTAACGCATTTCTGAGACTATAGTGTAATTAATCTGTTATTTATTGCTTATATTTGTTACGGTTTTAAATGAATTACAGATAATTTATATGAAATAATTTCAAAATAAAAAAATTTTGCCTTAATTTTAAATATTTTTTATGTCGATAATTATTTTATTATTTCCCAAAAGGTATTTAAATTTTGTTATTTATTTGATTTGATTGAGTAATACACGTTTATATAAAATTATTTCTACACTAATATATTAAACATTGAATACATTTATATATTATATCAAAAATATATAAGTCAATAGCTTGTGGCATAAAATAATTTTTTCGCTTTGATATCATATAATAGTTATATAACTATAATATAACTATTTGTATAATAAAAGTGTATTTTTGATTTTTGGAGTTTAGAAATCTTTCTATCGTTTTATCATTTTATATAATATTTTTGTTGAGAGAGAATTCAATTCACTATTGATTTTTGCCACACATTTAGAGAGAGAGAGAGAGAGAGAGAGAGAGAGCTGAGAGAGAGAGAGACTGAAATAAAGTGATTATATATGTGTTGACCCAAAAACTATTTTATAATATATTTCACAACAAACAACACCAATAGATTTCTGAGATAAATGGGTGGGAACTGGAGTTCACAAACAGCACGGGTAGATATTTATTTATATATCTATTTTATATATTATATAATATTTTTTTCTCGTATTAAATGTTTGGTGTCATTGGGTTTTTGGGAAAAGATTTTTATTATTATATAGTTTTTTGTATTTATTTTTCTAAAATAGGAGTTTTTTGTCGAAAAAGGCTTTTCACCAGCACTTTGTAATGATAATAATTATAGCATTGATTTTTCTAGCGTTTACTATATACAGGTGTTTATATGGCATACCTATGCTGTGTATATATATACGAGTGATAAAAGTGTTTTCATATCTTTATTTTTATTTAATATTTATTTTGCATTAAAAAGTGTTTTTTATTATAAAAATAAGTTTTTTTGCAGTGAATATAATGATTAAAATCTGATTCACTATTATTTTGTTACATAAATAGCTGCATATTTATTATTAGTGGTATTTGTATTGATAAAATACATATTTGCTAGCTAGTATTAGCCCATAAAAATATTTAGTTCACACATAAGTAAAATGTTATTTTATATACAGATCGGTATTAGTGATAAGTAACTATATTTTATATAATTTATTTTAAATGTAATTATATTTTTAATAGAAAAAATAGTTTTGTATAAAAAGTTTAGGAAATTATTTCCAATCAAATGATTTAATCAAATGTTTTTTACTTTCAATTTTAATTAATGTGATTAATATTAACTAGGAAAAAGTGGTTTTCCACTTTATTTGATGGTTAACCCATAATCTAACGGTGCAAATAAATTAATGTCGACTACAAAATACATTTTTATATAGATTTTATTATTTAATTACAAATATAGTAATCATAATTAATTATTAATATTTAATTAAGTAGTATAGCTATATATAAATGCATTATATATGATTTAATAGTAAAATATACATTTTTGAGCAATATTTATGATATAATTTAATATGAATTGAGTGTCTATTGAATAATATTCAGCGAAAATGTCTGCGAAAAAGTCATTAATAAAAACAAAAAAAGTAAATTAATAGATATTTTCACTCAATTTTTCACAATGTTTTTGTGTTATATACTGTGAAAAAAAACAATACAAAACTCTATCAAAAGGGGTTTTTCATCATCCATTCATTCATAACATAATACACACACGGATTGAATGAATGGTAGGCTTGAAGTGAGAAACACTTTTTTGATCGCGAAAAACAAAAAATGTCTTTTTGTTACCCAAAAGAATATAATACTAAATAAATGACTGCCAGTGAGTTAGTGAGTGTTGGGTATAAAAAAAGTTGCATGATAAATGGTTGCCAAAGTGTGCGAGAAATGTATTATGAGTTTTTAACGGCAAATGTTATATTATATAATAATATATCTATAAATGCAATGACAGACACATAGCTAGGCGTATAGTGTACGGGGAAATATATACGTACAGAATATTCTGTACATTATATCATTATAAGTATGAATAGTTTGCGTATAATACTGTATATCTCATATATAATAGTTTATTATAGAGTAATATATTATGATATTATGTATGAATATACTTATTATTACGTGAATTCATAATTCACTCACTTTTTTGGTGATACTGACTGAGAAATTGTGTTATGAATTGTGGGCTAAAAATGTGAAAATCAAGAAAAATTGCTTTCAAATGATGAGCACAGGGAGGATATGGCACACTATGACCACAAAGTGCTATATGACTACTGGGGGTCGGGGGTTGGGCTATAAGTTTGTGTTTGAGAAATGATTATTAATATTGTGTTGAATACTGAATGAATGAATGGTTAAGTTTTTTATGGTATTTATTATTTTATTTTGATATGAATATAATTTTTTATAACAAAATATTTCTCACATTTAATAATACGGATATTTTTTGTATAATATTTTTTGAGATTTTTATTTATTATTCAATAATACATTCAAATCATGGTATTATCTACACTACGATATAAACATGCTAGATAACTATATTAATTAATCAATAGATTATTTATTGGTGATAGCATAGTTAAATATATTTTTTTGTTTTATTTATTTGAAAGATTTTTTAGTTAAAACTATTCAGGGTATAGATATTGAATTACGGATCAATATTAAGCGATAAAATAAATAGTGTTTTAGTTTTTTTGTTTTGTAAAGAATCATTTGACTTTACTTTGCGCTGAAAACACACAAAATGCAGTGAAAATTGAATTATTGTTTTCATAAATTCTTATTTATATATATATTTCTCTATTCCCATAGAATTCGTATGCATTTTACAGATATAGCTGTAGAATATTCTGTGAATTTTTATTCTCGTTTTGTATTTTTGTTTTTTCGGTGAAAGGCAATTGAATTGAGAAATAGATTTATTTTGTTTTTCTACTACTTTTGTGTTCACTATTTTTTGTTTGTTGGCTAAAAGGCATGAAAAAATATAAATTCCTGTCCTCCAGAGCTACCAGTGCTCTGACGTGGGTGAGTGAGAGAGAGAGAGAGAGAGAGAAAGAGAGAGAGAGAGAGAGATGCATATAATATAAGTGGGAATAAGTCTACAGAATTTAAATTTATATCTAGTTTTATACTATTGTCTTAACCCTCGACTTGCATTCAAATACACACTATTCTTATGTCCAGAATATTCTTAACAAACAGAATATTTTAAACTAATAATAAGATAAATATATAAAATTCAAAATATTTTTACATGAACACTAATTATATTTAATTTATTTTTAATTTATAGGAATCGCAAAATGAGGGACGGCCTACATAAATCCATGTCCGGTGCCCCGCAATGGCTACCGGAGTGCATACGTGGCTCCAAAGCCCTACCTCCTGATGCCACCCAAACCGGTGGCCAAACGGCGCACATGTTCACCATCGGTGCTAATGGGGGTGTCATAGGAGCCCCACCATCGCCAATGATCCGGGCCAGTGGTCACCACCATAAGAGCCACTATCAGCTACACCCCCACCAGGAGGGTCAGGGTATGGGACTGGATAGGACCGGATCGTTACAACAACTCAGTGTGGGTACCCCTCCTACTCAGTGTCAGACTACCACTCATCTAACATACCAAACACCCCCACCAGGTATTGCACCACCACTACCTAAACACCAAAACACTACCTGTCCATTCACACTACTGTATATTCACATGCACTTAGCGTGGTTTTTATTATATACCTGTCCCTTTTGATATGCTATGCTATGTTTTGTTTTTTGTTGGCTACTGGAGCTGTTTATTACACCATGGTTATTATTTTATATAATACCTTGGCGTTTTTTGTTTTGGGAATGATTTTTATATATGTATATATTATTAATATATTTTTAAATCCTTATTATTTTTATGAATGAATTTGTTTTGCACTTAAAATGTATCTATACTCTGAATGCGTTATATGGAGGGTCGACCTAATCGCCCGTTCCCTTAATTACACTATACATGACTTTAATCTCTTAATACTCGTGAATGTGTTTTTTGTAAGAAACGATTTTTTGCACGACTTTTGCATTGATTTTTAGATGTGTTTTTTGGGCACAGAATTGATTTTTTCGTACTAATTATTATTCAATACTTTGTTTTGTTTGCATATTCTCTATGAGATTCTTGATGTGAATGCACTAATGCATGGTTTGAATGAACATTTCCTTAACAGAATATTCTGTATGTCTATCACTACTAACTTTGCCTCCCTGTCCATTATAACTATCCCTCATACTATCGCTTTATCATATGGTGTTTGGGTGGGTGCGAGGGATGGGGTGTTTTGTGTATGTTTGAGGGGACTGGGAGTCTGTAATACTAATATTGATGTTAATTAATAAAATTAAGCGCAAAATATATCTATATTTTAAAAATATTGCACAAAATATCCATTAGTTTTGCTTATTATCATAAAAAGCGTATAAATTATATTCTCGTATAAAATATTTACGGATTAAAAAGTATTTGCATTTTTATGTCTCAACTCCCGGACTATTGATTGAGTTTTAGTTTTTAAAACATAAATTTTGTTTTATGTTTAATTCAATGGCTTTTGAAGAATAAATTTTCTGATATAATGTAGTCTATTATGACTATACATACTATGATAGTAGTTGGCTATCAGTGCCATTGATCTAGCTTATATTTCGAGATACTGTACACTATTCACGAGTATTATGTAGTAGGGAATCAATTTGATTTGTATTGTATACCAGTGCTTATACTCCCAACCCTCCCATTCCCGTATATATACTATTAGGAGTTTAAGTGCGATTTGATCTCCGACTCCATTAATGTATAGTTTAACCAGAAATTCAGTACAAAATTTATTTTTTCATAAAAATACACTTTTGAATTCATTTCGTAGACAAAATGCTACATAAGATATACTGTAGTTCCCGGTATTTATGACATACCGATCGATACATACATTGCGAACCACTGTTTACTATGAATATCATTGAGTTTTTATATGATATCACAATTGAATTTAGTTTTATATGAATATATCACTTGAATATATATATATGATATATCTGGGGGTGTTTTGGGTTACCATTCCCTTGTGGTTTAATTGGGAGGCTATATATTGAGTGATATTCCTGTCAATTATATTTGCAAATATTTTTTGAGATTTTTATTTATCAAGGAATTAGTTTAATTAAATTATATTTAGTAATAGTGTATACGATATGAGTGTTATAAATATGAAATCAATTAATTTATTGATTACACAAAAGTCGTTGCAGAATATATTTATACAGAATATTAAGCTCTATATATAATATAATACAGAATCGAGTTTTGTATGATTTTTATTGAATATTCAAATACACACTACCATACAGTGTATGGCATATGATATGAAATTCTGTGTTAAATTTAATATAATATAAAATATTTTAAACTTTCTCTCGACTCTCTAACCCCCTAAAGTAGTTTACTTTTCAAACTTACAGTCTGTTTAACTCAATCGTACAGAATATGCTACCAGTGCTCTCGCAGAACTCAGGGCACTGGCAATCATATGCAGCACATGTATGTCATATGCACGGTATTCCTATTCTCTCTCTTTCTCTCTCTCTCTCTCTCTCTCTCAATATTTAAGTTATAATTCATGCGAAAACATAATAGAGTTTAAGTTTAGCTATTTTTTCCTGTGCTGTCTATCCATATCTGGAAATTCTGTTGTCTATTCAGTATTTTTTTGTGAGTGAGAGCACAGGGATCTCGATGGGGAAAGGGGTTATGTGTAATAAACTTTATGCAAATGGCATTCCCTTGACAGTGAACCCCTTCCACCGACTAATAGATAAAGACATTTTCAAGTGCTTATCAAACAAAAAAGTGCTAGTATATTATATGCACATATACCAATTCCGGTATTGTCGTTAAATACAGTGACTAAACATACCGTTCCCATTATGCCAGCCCTATGTCATACCCACACCCCTGTCCCCCAGTGTTTGTTAGAGTAGAAACAAAAATGCCTTTCATTTCATATGAAGTGAAAGTATTTTTTGTGTTTTATTTAAAGTGTTAGTAATTTTTAGGTCCAAAAAAGTTTAGTTGACTTTTTTCTATCGGTTATTATATTTGGTTCAATAAATAGTATTTTTTATACTGTGTTTTTTGTTTTTAAATGTTCAGGGACGTAACTGTAATTGTGGCTATTATTTGAGTGCTAAATATATTTTATAAAATTAAATCCGATGTGAAAATATATTTTTGTTAAGATTTTAGGTTAAGTGTTTCAATGATTTTTGCTTCAGTGCTAATCGTATTTAAAAATATATTTTTAACTGTAAAAATCAATAGACTTATGAGTCGTTTATATATTTATATTAATATTATTTATGATTTAATGTATAGTTTTCTTAAATCATTAGGAATTCGTATATAAATTCTTGGATTCTATGCCCAATATCTGACAGAATGTATCGATTTTCAGTCATAACACTCGGTATTGACTGTAGTTTTTAAAAGAATATATTCTTTTGGAGTTTGATTTTTATTTCTTTTATTTATCCGTTAAATCAAATATCAAGTGAAAGTCGGAGTCAAACAAACAAATCATTTCAATACTAACTGCCGAGAGAGAGAGAGAGAGAGAGAGAGAGAGAGAGCTAAATAAATAACAATCAATCCGTGCTTTACGTGAAAAGAGACTAAATTTTTTGCACTTATATTTTAATGCAAATATTAGGGGAACAGTAGTTTTCTGTGTAAACATTTGAAAGATATTTTGCCACTCGATTCAAATCATCTCTCTCTCTCTCTCTCTCTCTCTCTCTCTCTCTCTCATCACGTTATTTGTATATAACTTTACGTACAATACATGCATAATATGCCAGTCATTGGATAAATTAAGTCACAGAATATTCTCTATACTATTCTCTCTATTCTTATCCCATATTTAATCCTTTTCCGCGTGAATTCAATCGTTACAATCACTGTAACGCCTGTGCCTTTTGTACACATACCCGGCCATAATGTCTGAGTGTATATGTTTGTGCATCTGTCGGTGTGTGTGTGTGTGTGTCAGCCCTCCCGTCCCCCTCCCCACTCACTTCATTTAAGTCATTCACCGCCGCTTTAACTACTGTTTTGTGTGCGAAAAGTCCTTCCGATTTATACTTAAAGAATAGGTTTTTGGCATAAAAAGTATATATCAATGGAGAAAATAACTGCAAAAGACATTAACATTTTAAGTCCCTTTCCATTCAAACTCCCGGTGCTCTCTGTATATTCTCTCTCTCCTATCGCTCCCTCACTCATATTATCCTCAACACAAGTGTGCGATCTATAAGTGCTTATCAATAGTATAGTCCGATCTCTAGTATATCCCTATGCTCTACATATCGTTCCCCCTTTTCCATTGATCCGACGGCTCTCTCTCTCTCTCTCTCTCTCTCTCTCTCTATGACATAACAAACACATAGATTTTTATCCGGAAACTAAAATATAATATCAAATAAAAGCAATAAAGCATTTAATATATATTTTTTATTTTTATTATTACTATTACTATATTGGGAGCCATATATCAAATGAGTGACACTTTTATAACTTTTATATTCTCTATCATTCTCTCTCTCAATGTGTTTGTATTTGTCTCACAAAATCTCAAATCTCTCCGATATCTACACTTAAAATACAAATAGAGCACAGATTTAGCTAGCACAAACACACAACACTGCAGTTATAGTTTTATTTGTGTTTGCTGTTATTATTTCATTTTATAGTATAATAATAATATCTATAATAATAATGACAACTGCCGATCATTATAATCTACTAGTTCATTGTATTTTATATGTCTAGATATTTATGTCATACTAAAAGTCTACCATAATATTCAGCATAAATTCTATGACACAATAGAGATTTCTACTAGCTAAAAAATATAACTAGCATAAAATATTCTGTAAACAACAATATATTCTGTATTATTGGTAATTCAATACACAATATATCCTACAAACAAATTCTTTATACAAACTTTATGTTATGAATAGTATGTATTGTTATATTAAAATTGTGCTTGTTTATTGCACCTTCAGTTGCCATATCATTACTGGAGTACGAAGTCATCCGGACCACTGCCCCCGCAATACGAGGACAGTGTGGGGCTCCCGGGGCTGGACAACAGGTCCGGTACGCGACACACGGAGGACAGCAACGTGTTGTCGTTAATGTCAAAGACCACCACCAGTGCCAACAGCCAGCACCGGGCGATCAACAACACCAACAACATTACCGGATTCATCACACAAGGTATGTCCAGTATTCCGTTTATTTTTACATACCATTCCCCGCACACACAACTAATTGATTAGCATGATAAATGTTAGGGTAGCGCACCTGTATGCTAGTTATGTTTATAAATATGGATAGTATGCAGAATATTCTTTGTATATTTATAACTAATGATTATACAGAATATTCTGTACAAAATACATTGATTTAATTATGTGTGTCGCAAACCTGCCGGTGCTTAAGGTTATGTATTTTGTTTTCACGTATTAATTAATATATTTCGCGATTTTAATTAATACTTAAAATTAGTTTTGTTTTTCAGACTTTTTTGTCGCATATTTTTCATTAAATTTTATGAATACTTTTGTCGACTCTATTGTCGTCCATACTATGAAAATGTGTTATGAATTGTGCGCTAATTATGTGTTCACTCGTGTGTTGAGAGATATTTTAATTAATTATTATATTATTAGATGAAATAGTTTTTGTGTTTATTGTATACAATACTAATGAAAGGCATGTTATGGCCAACTATTTTGCATTATAAAAGGTATTCATACAAGTAGTGCCCAGTATATACAAATATGCCAAATATTTTCAATAGTATACTATATAATCAAAAATAATTTTTACGATTATATTTATGCCGTAAACTATTGCTCGTAAAGAATATTATATTTATTTTCCAATACTTTAATCTAAATTACAGTTATGTCTCGAAAGAGTTTGCCTAAAGTATTATAAACAGGGCAAACACACACATAAAAATTTGTTATAATAATTTTCAGGCAACTACTTTATGGCACTTAAACTCCCGGTGCCGTGTCGATGAGCACTGGTATGTGTTTGCTGTGCTATTCTATGTGTATTTATTTTAACAGTAATAATACATATAAGGAGAGCGCGTATGTGATAAGAATATTCTGTGTGTTTATATTGTATGCTCTCTTAGTCTCTCTCTCTCTCTCTCTCTCTGACTCTTTATATTCTCTCTCCTTTTATGCCCTTTTGTTTTGTTTGTCATTCAAACCAACAGAATATTAGGAGAGTATTAGTAGTCGTTAGGAATCGGAGAGAATATTCTTAGAGAGAATAAGAGCCCGAAAAAAGTAAAGTGAAAATCGAAGTCAAGTGTATTGACAGCACAGGTATTGCCAACGGGTAGGCACTCCTCAACACATCCAATACCATGCAAATGATTATCAAATAAATTGAAAATTTATGCCAAATTTTATTTACTATTTATAGAATATTCTGTAGAATCTGATTCACATTAATAGCAAATATATCACAGAATATTCTGTGTATATCCCATTATAACTAAATATTCAGTGCCCATAAGGGTAGGGCTTTATTCAACAGATTTTAACTGTCATAATATGAGAGGGGACAGACACCCTGTGCTTATGGCACTGGTAGACAGGCTGGTGATCCCGTTCCCCCAATACGATTGAATAGTGAAATAAAGGGAAAATCGAGTGAATGTTTGGGCGCCGAAAGAAAAATATACACAAAAACTCTCTCTCTCTCTCTCTCTAACTCTTTATATTCTCTCTCCTTTTATGCCCTTTTGTTTTGTTTGTCATTCAAACCAACAGAATATTAGGAGAGTATTAGTAGTCGTTAGGAATCGGAGAGAATATTCTTAGAGAGAGAATAAGAGCCCGAAAAAAGTAAAGTGAAAATCGAAGTCAAATGTATTGACAGCACAGGTATTGCCAACGGGTAGGCACTCCTCAACACATCCAATACCATGCAAATGATTATCAAATAAATTGAAAATTTATGCCAAATTTTATTTACTATTTATAGATTATTCTGTAGAATCGGATTCACATTAATAGCAAATATATCACAGAATATTCTATGTATACGCCATTATAGCTATATATTCAGTGCCCATAAGGGTAGGGCTTTATTCAGCAGATTTAAACTGTCATAAAATGAGAGGGGGAACAGACACCCTGTGCTTATGGCACTGGTAGACAGGCTGGTGATCCCGTTCCCCCAATACGATTGAATAGTGAAATAAAGGGAAAATCGAGTGAATGTTTGGGCGCCGAAAGAAAAATATACACAAAATTTAGAGCTCAGTGTTCACTGAAGCGATCGGTAATAGCAAAAAATGCGAGCTACTGGTGCTGTATGGCACTGGTAGTGTACAGTATACGAGAGCACATGCATGCACACTATTATGGGTCCAATATATCTAAGTATGTGTTTGCCTACCAGTGCTGTTAGCACTTGACTATAGAGAATATTCTGGCGGCTGAGGTGATTGAATCGTTGAACAATACGTAGTGACGGCGCTGTCAGCTTAGCTGCCAATACGGTACTACTGGTGCTCTCATGGCACGGCATGCATACCATTCCCCTTTCAGTCTATGGGAATAAGACATTAAGAGATTTCTTTATACACTATTTACTCGTTATAATAGATTAACGGAATATTCTGTTGACTTATTGTGTATAATCTGTGCTATGATTTAAACACTTATTTATGCTTGATATTCATTGTATGTGTTAAATATTTTTGTGTAATTTATTTATTTGTTAGGTTTTAGATGTCTGTCCACTATCGAGAGGTTTAGTGTTATTTATTAGTTTCTGATTTGAATTGAAAGCTAAGTATATATCAGGCGATAGAGTAGAGCACCCAATGGTTTGAGAAACGTATATCTCATATATCTTATGGTGGAAGTAGTGGTGCAACAGTAGGGCTCGTAGTGGAAATGGATGTGAAATGAGTCGGCGAGAGAGAGAGAGCACAGAAAGTGTTAGTTTGAAAAATATAGTGAAACGAAATAACTGGCAATTGAATGGACGGGTAGTATAAAGAATGAGTCGATTTTTTATTCTGTGCTCTCGATTCTGTAAGTCGTGGACAGGGATGAGCACCGGGGGTTGTTGCAATATACAGTGTATTCAAGTATGTGGCGATGCTAAAAGGGCTGGTAGTTATTAATGTACCGCAAATATACACACTTACCTCTTAAATACCATTCCCCAGCTTTTATTAGTTGAAATAATAATACTTAATATTCTGGCACTTAGTTATGGTGTGCAGTGAAAGGGCTTTCCATTAATGCCTTTCCGTGTAATACATGACCTAAAGGTTGCGGGGAAAGTAGTATAGAGAAATACCCTTTCGTATAGCCATTAAGTGCACCGGAGTTTAGGTAATGACCTGTATTTTTGGGGTTATACTACCAATGGCTTGCATATATCCATGTGCTCTCTCTCTCTCTCTCTCTCTCTCTCTCTCTCTCTCTGTTTTTATATCCAATAATGACTTTCACTTCCAATGAAAATTATATATATTTTTCTTCATTGAGTCTATCATTGAATTTCTGGTAGTTTTCGTTGGAAATGAAAAATACAAACAAAAACTTATTTTTCTCGTCTTTTTATATACCATTTCCTATGAACTCCTTAACCGATTCTCTGGTATTAAATATTTCTCAGACTTTCACTGCTATATTGATTTAATGTGAGCTACCGGTGCCCTGGAATTCCTACCGAGAGCTCAGGTATATATTATAGTGAAATATGAGTCGTATTTTGTATATATGAGACTAAATATAGATTTTTTTTTGTGTCGGATTTTATTGAATATTTATTTCTATAACAGATTTGTCATAATTATCATTGAATTTATTATATTTATTTTTTGTACCCGGCTGTTCATTATGTGTAATATACCGTAGTTTTTGGTTTTGATTTTCGCTATAAGTGTGACTGATTTGAGAGAAAGTCTATCCATTCGTTTGATTGCCTTTTATTTAATTTATTATAACTTTTATTTTGTTATACTTTCTTATCGTTTCGGGTAAACCTTTATCTCTATCTATATCTCAGACTCTGTTTTTGTCTCTTTATGTTTGATATGTTTTTCCACTATTTCACGAGTAATAAGAGATGACATTTTTTATGTAGGATTTTCTATCTCTCTCTCTCCCACTCACATCCCATTCCCCTCTCATCCCTATCCCCCCTCTCTATACACACTCAAGTGACATAAATAAAATCGCGGACTAATAGTAATGATAATAAACGCTAGTCTTATTATTATTAAGTAACCTTAATTACGCTATATTTAGGCTCTGTAATTTAGTTATTGATTAGAGAGTTATGTAAATGAAATATAATATTATTAGATCACATATATATATTTATATCTATAAGAAAATAGTTATTTTCTAGTGGTGTAGGGGTGGCCAGTGGTGTGAGGGCTACGGGTGGTTAGGTTAGGCTGTGCGAGTGGGATGTGCTGGTCATCCATGCCATGGCGTGAATCAGTTGTATATAAATATAGATTGAGATACTTATTGGACGGAAATTGCAGCACACTGTATTTATTTTAGCGCCTGATTATCATTACTATTATTTGCGATCAGAATAATAATAATTCATTGGAATTAATGCGATATAAATCCGAGACATTAAATCAATAACTAATCTCTCAATACATTTATAAATATAATATTATTATAGATCACATATATATCTATAAGAAAATAGTTATTTTCTAGTGGTGTGAGGGCTACGGGTGGTTAGGTTAGGCTGTGCGAGTGGGATGTGCTGGTCATCCATGCCATGGCGTGAATCAGTTGTATATAAATATAGTAACTCTATGAATAACCTGCCTTTAACGTCGGAAAATATAAAAATCTTTTTCTCATCACTTGTTACGAGCGATGAGAGAGAGAGAGAGAGAGAGAGAGAGAGAGAGAGATAGAAAATCCTACATAAAAAATGTCATCTCTTATTACTCGTGAAATAGTGGAAAAACATATCAAACATAAAGAGACAAAAAAAGAGTCTGAGATATAGATAGAGATAAAGGTTTACCCGAAACGATAAGAAAGTATAACAAAATAAAAGTTATAATAAATTAAATAAAAGGCAATCAAACGAATGGATAGACTTTCGCTCAAATCAGTCACACTTATAGCGAAAATCAAAACCAAAAACTACTGTATATTACACATAATGAACAGCCGGGTACAAAAAATAAATATAATAAATTCAATGATAATTATGACAAATCTGTTATAGAAATAAATATTCAATAAAATCCGACACCAAAAAAATCTATAT